AATGGATGGCAGGACAGGGTTTGGGAGAAATAGCAAAAAGACTAAACTTATTAAGAGTTTCAAAGAACGGGAAGATGTGGAGGGCCATGATTGCCTCCATTTTGAAGGGATACCTCACATAAAAGAATTTAATTTAGATTCTTTTTCTTTTTGTGATAACAGAAGATCTGCCAAGAATGGTGAAACGTTGTAAAACCTTGGAAACAAATTATCCCTGAATAAACTAATAAAGTACTTTCCAAGCATTTTCGTCTTAGTGAATTATTGTAAGTCAAAATTGTGGTCAGTCTCGTCACGATGAGTGATTAATGTTTTGTTTTTTAAAATGTCTCTTTTGTGTTTATATAATCTTTTATTGAAACTTGAGGTTTCTCCAATATTTTCTTTCTGGCAATCCTTGCAGGTGATAGAGTAAATTCCTCCTTCAAGTATTGGCTTGTGGTTTTCTTTTGTATTGATTAAGTGTTTTATTGTTTTAGATGTAGTTGTGACAAATTTTATGTTTAGATAAATTATTTTCGATTGTAGCTATGATAAAGTTAGTGTATAGGACAATATATTTTTAATTCGTTGTGCTTATCAGGAGGGCCGCTTTTCTTATTTGGAATATTTTATGAGTCTTTTCTTTCGCATTGGTTATGGTCCGGTTCCTTGTACCACGGTGATAGTCCAAGGTAAAACCAAGAAGAACTCGAATACGGATATGGAATAACACGGATATATTACAAACAGGAATATATACAGAGAGGTAGAAAGTGTTAATACGAACAATCAGGTTTAGTAGTAATTGTCTGAACACGACTCTGTTTCGGACTGCCTCTGACTCGACTGACTGACTCGCTCGCTCTGACTGACTGACAGACTCCGGACGGGCTTCACTCCAGACTTCAAACTGAACTCCCTGCTTCCTCTTGAGGCGCAGTATTTATTACGTATGGAATAGTCCATTATGTTATTATGGGTAAGGTCCCATAACACATTGAATAAGTTAGGGTATTGGAGGGTCTTGATAGTATTTTCAATGTATTTTTCCTATTCGTGTAAATACTGAGAGCTGCAAATTCTGAGTGCTCTTAGGCAGAATCCGATGATTATTCCGATGGGAATAGAAATTTATTAGATCATTTTTATTAGTTGATTTTCAGCGGACACGAAGTTTTAAGCTACTGTTAATGCGGTGTAGCATGATATCTAGGAAAGATAAAAAAAAGTGTATTCTTCCATTTCGTATGTAAATTTTATTGTATATTCGACTCTGTTTAGTTTATCTACAATAACAGGCAAATCAGTATCACGGGGATATATTAATAGAGCATCATCAATATATCGGATGTATGTTGATTGTTTAGGTAAAATATTTTAGAAAGCACCAGATTCGATAAATTCTAAGAAAATACATGCCATCACTCCGCAGTATATATATATATATATATATATATATATATATATATATATATATATATATATATATATATATATATATATGCGGTACTTAGTGGAAAGCGCTCAATGTCAGTGAGAGGACTAACATAATAAGTTGTATTTGTGACCCTGGGTTTCACTCTTTTTACGATCATCTGACAAACTAGTTTATTTTTTTTTTTAAATTAGATCTATTTATGCTTGTTTTTGTTTGGTGACGGGAGGGGGAATCTACTTCTCTGTTTATTTGGGGTGGTACTATCATACAAATAGAAACATACATACAGATGTACGCATTTTAGTTCACACCAACGCATTCATAAAAGCAATACGAGGCTAGGCGCAGATACATATCCGTGCGTTCGGGCATACATACATACGCATACATATTTCCGAACGCATTTATGTATATATATATATTAGGTACCTCCACAAAAATCGTGATACCTAAGGTTTAAATTGATTTAGAAAAATGTAAAAACTTTCTTGAAGCTTTCATTTTAACTTTAATTAAAAACGAAAGGGTTAATTTTACTGTTTCCAGTAAGCAAAATACTCTTGTGTATTTCAAACAGAAATTATGTTGATGGATCGTTTTTCATTTATTTTTCAGTAACATCGTCAAAGTCATCCATTTGTTTGATATTTGTAAACACAAGCTAGTTCCCGGTTTTGCAAATCTTGCAAAAGCCAAATATACTTTTCTGAAACTTTCTTTGAGGAATATTAGCTGATTTAAAATATCATTAATCTGGTTTGAAACTAATATTATTTACTTTAAGTTTACAACATCGAAGAAATTAATTTTTAACCAAACAGTAGCTGTGTTTTTAACCAGCAGAAGTTGTTTACACCTTTGACAAGGTGATGACAGCTTGACTGTTGTTCTACGGAGATTTTATTTGTAAAACAATTTAAGAAAATGATGTGAGCGCCGTTTTTGCCTAATTGTTAAGTACTCAGTAATCTTAAAAATTTAGGAAAATATTCTCCGTAATCTAATGTTTTATTGAATTTGAGAAATTTCGGCTTTAATCTAAAAGGCTGAAAGTAATACAGAATTTTAAAAGATTTAAAACTTTATAAATTACAAATTAAAAATGAAAACGGTTCTGTAAAGATTCATTATTCATCGAAAGAAAATTTTTCCTAAGATAATAGTGTCCTTAATGAATCTTATTTATAAAAGCAATTAAAAGCTTTTCTAATTAAATAATATTATGGTTTTATTGCATTTTTATTTTACGATTTGCAGCAGATTTTTGGTAAATAAGTAACTCTTTGAAAAAAAAATGAAGATTTACATTCTCCAAGGAGCCCTGCTTTTAACTAATATAAAAAATATTTGGATCAAAATTTAATTTCTCGAAATTCCATAAAATTAAGTTAGTCGAGTTAACATGTGAAAAAAAAATAATTTTAAAAAATAATTTAATTTAATTTGTGAACAAGCCCTGAAATCCCAATAAAATCTGACAATTATTTGATTTTTTCTAGAATTTCCAAAACAATTTTTTTTTTAATGCAAAAAAGACGCTAAATTGCCTACAGTAGTCTTTGGCCCACCTATGACGCAAAGAAAAACAAGAATTTTAAACGAAATTTCAAATGAGACAGAAAGGATAAAAAAAATAGCTAAAATAATAAAACAATACTTTGGTCTTTCCTCTTAATAACATAAACATTTTGACGATAAAACTTTGTTTTCATCAAGTTTGGGGACTTTTTTTCATCATACTAGACATTTTTAGCTGAAATGTGTTGGTACTTTATATATATATATATATATATATATGCGTGTGTGTGTACTGTGTGTACACGATTAGGCATAGATTAAATTAGCAGAATCTACGATATAGACATTGGGAAATAACATGTATATGAAACCGACCAGCTACAATGGTCCAACTTTGAAGATATAAACATTAAAAAGTTTACATCTATTTATGACGTAAGTCTAAATATAATTCGCTTTTTATTTTTTCATGGTTAACCAAGCACAAATTCTAATCAACTGGAAATAATGTTTTCCTGGATGATGATGATTATTGTTATTGTTATTGTTGTAACGTAGGGAAGGTTACTGAATAGAATAATCAAACAAAGTTCAGTAATGAACGATAATACTTAGGACAAAAACAACGCATATAAGATTGGCCAGCGGCGCGTAGAAGTAGTCAATTGTTAGAAGTGAGTGAAATGAATTACACAATGAATCTCCAACTGCAGGATATCTACCCCACGCAGTCAGATGTGGCACAAGGCCGAATTTAATTGGGGTATCCGAGCCCGTAAGCTCGGCCAAAAATTCCCCGTAGACTCCGTATACTACTCCGGGTCGAGTAGCTGTTTCTCGAGACGAAACTCTGCGCTTCGACATAGCCTCGTCTGGGGATCCTCTCTGCCTGGAGACAGAGAGTTTGACCAGTACAGCTGGAGTTGAATTTTTAACTGCAGACCAACATACAGTATTTACTACTGTATTTATGTGAATGGGAACACACCCATTATTGTCTGTACGTATGCTACAATAGTTATTATTATTATTAATGAGTGAGAGTGCCGCACGCCAATAAAGTGACGATAGGGTACACATATACGAGGACCAATATAATCATCACAGCAACCAGTCCGTATACCGGACACATGCATCACAGCCAAATCTGGGATTATTGATGTCCTCATGTATCACATTTTTTGAGATTTCTACTTCAAAGATACATTTTCTATCTGCTATGTAAATAAGAAAGCACAATCCTGTTTTTGTTGTTTTTGATCACGAGGTCTGGACGATTAACATTGATTGTTCTGTCTGTGTGTATAGTAAAATTCCATAAAATTGTTACAGGTCTTATCTCTCTAACCGGGTATGGATGGTGTTCATACCAGTTTATTGCAGTTTCCTTCGCATAAAAGTTGCATATTTTCCAGTGGAGATATTAGCCCACTCTATCATGCCGAGTTTTATATTCAGCTGGTGCTAACACTGTGCAACCTGATACATTATTATTATTATTATTATTATTATTATTATTATTATTTCTTCTACCCCAAAGTTTTTCGTTTTCAGCCGGAGATTTTGCATTCTGGGTGTTCTCCATTAAGTCGTACGACTTCAAACAGAACCTTTCGTAAAATATTTGCAGAGCCAAGCAATACAGACATCTGAAGTGATGGGCTACTGGACTTTATTTTGATTTTCTTCATGTAGGTCTTTAGGTTTGATGGTATAGACTCCAACGACCCAATTATAACTGCGACAATAGTGGCCTGAACGTCGCACATTCGGGCAACCTTAATCCGCAGGTCAGTGTACTTTTTAATCTTTACAATTTCTTTGGTCATGGTATAAGAGCCATATCGATGAGGAGGTGAAGCCTGGTCTGGTGACTCCAAGAAGACTGTCTGTTTTAGATGTGGAAATCCCTTATGATTTTTACTTGGTTGTTTTCGATCATCTCTGGCTTCTGGCGGTAGCGTTTCTGTTCGGGTTCAGCTATTATTATTATTATTATTATTTAGATATGGGGAAATTTTCAATTCCGATCAGTTATCAATTACACCCCCCCACACTCAAGCTTACAGCATCTAGTATTCCCAAGCGGTCACCCATCTAGGTACTGACCAGGCTCAACGTTGCTCAAATTCGGTGATCATACAGGAACTTGTGTTTGAACAAGATATGGCCGTAAACCCACCACTGAATTAAGTGCATTGACAAATTTGACGAATTTTTTTTTCATCATTAAGTGACTAGCATATTGATATACTAAGGTTCAAGGCTGGATCAATAAGTCTATAACCACTGAATTAAGTGCATTGACAAGGAAGGATTTTATGATGAAAAATAATGATTTGCTGTGTAAAATAAGTGTTCTTTTCATCAGTAGACTGAGTCTTTGTTGATATAACGATATGCATCATTTACATACTTGAAATCCACCATGAATCCATCTTGATCGATGACTTTCGATACTTCGGGGAGGTATGGTCGTTATTGATCACCCCAGTCACGTTGTCGGCAACGCTGTCTCGATACAAAAGGCTTGGTACAATGGATGACTAAATGCCAACAGTATCGGCCGACCGGATGTTTAATTAGGTCGTTGCTGCAAAACTAAAGATTTGTGAGTTTTATGACTTTTGAAGGGAACAACAAGATCGAAGTCGGAAGAAACCCCGGATGCAGGGGCAAAGGAAGATCTTTTTAGTCCTGCTTGACGTCTCTAAAGCTAAAACTCTCGATTTGTTTATGGTAATGTCGCCTCAAGTGATTCAGGAGCTCATGAAATATAATTGTTTTCTACTGATATATCTCCATCTATCGTCTGTCAATCAATCTATCTATCTATCTATCTATCTATCTATCTATCTATCTATATATATATATATATATATATATATATATCAGAAATTAAGAGATTAGCCAATTACGCTACCATGGTTTCAACCTTTATGTATCCTAAGGCGATATAGGCTGAACCTCAAAAGTTCTGCACGTTAAATTTTTACTTTTATTTTCTTCATATGTGTATTGAGCACGTTTTTATATATATATATATATATATATATATATATATATATATATATATATATATATATATATATATATAGTTATTTATTTAAAATATGATTCCAACACGCTACATAAGAGTTCTCATGTTTAAAAAAGAGCCGAAAACTTCAATATAATTATTTGAATTAAATTGAATTAAAGTACTAAGCTCTGTTCCATCTTCAAGCGAAATTTTTGGGAATAACTTATTTCTGGGGTTTACGCGTTTTATAAACATATTCATTATTGAAATCAAAATTGCTATGGTAACGGCTAGAGCAATTGTTTAAAGAAAAAGGGCGTAAGGTGTTAATAATTTGTATCAATATCTCAGTTACATTCACAGATGTCAAGTCAGGGTAAAGTTGGGGGGTGTCTAAATTTAAAGTGGAAGATGACATTGTCTAGTCTGGTTAAGTGCCTATGGAGATTTATTTATTTTTTCATTTTATTTTTTATTTTTTTCTGAAAGGGTTTTGTGTATATAAAAAATTTTAAATAAATAATTATATTCATGGTCTACTTTTGTATCGAGCACTATTTTTAAAAAAAATAATAACAAAAATACTAAAGAACTTTGGATTATTTACCTAACGAGTTCTTTCCTATTTTCTATATATTTTTCACACACACGCGCACACACACACACACACACACACACACACACACATATATATATATATATATATATATAAAACAGTTATTGGTCCAGGAATTAGTTGTATTAAAACGTGCTCAATATATATGTTAATATTTAGAAATGTTAAAACTCTGACGTTTAATATGGCAATGAACTCTTTTTTTGCTGTGCGCCTTTGTAGCATATTCCCTTAGGAATTGCTTACGTTATATTTTATTTAATACGCTAGAATTAAGTGCTTTTCCGAATGCTGCTGCCGAATGCTGATAGCTCAGTCACAGAAACTCTGACTGACACTAAATCGGTTGGGTTTCGGTCCTGGCTTGAAGCATTCAGACGTCTAGTCGCACTGGGGAGCAAAACAATACTGTCTGCGAATTATATATATATTTAATTGGTGGATTTTCAAGTGTCGTGCCTTCACTGTATCGTAACTTCAGACGTCAGTTTGTGATGTCGTTTTGTTTTCTTTTCTTTTTTAAAATTATTCTACCATTCTCCCGAGAATTGAATACTGTTGCCATATCTGGTCAGGTGCCTCTGCTATTCATCTTGAGGATCTTGTCAATTCATGTAATGTAATCGATCCTGACTTGGCATCTAAACATCAGTCGCTTTCTCACCGACGTGGCGTGGCTTCTCTCTGTCTTTTTTACAAATATTTTCATGGCAATTGTTCTAGTGACCTTTTTTCCCCTGGTGCCACGACTACATGAATTTAAGCGTGCTAATAGATTGGCATTTAGGCCCCACCCTTTTACTGTTAAATTAGTTAAATTCTCTGATAAATACAACCTTTCTCTCTGTAGCCCCCTGCGTACTAGTAGCATTCCCGCCTTGCTTGGGGTAAAATGATTAAAAAAATTGTGAAATACATTTTATATGCATCTGCCTTAAGCGAATGAACTGTTATAGATGTTGGGCTGTTTGTTTTATTATGATTATCGTTTCTAGTATTTGGAGTCGTGTTTTACAGTTTATGTGCTATAGTATTTTTGTGTTATTATAAAGTATTTGCCATTTTTTTTTTTTGCTTTTATGTTGGTTGATGCTATGCGATTTAATTGCGCTATTACCAGATAAATGCGAAGGGAACTGATGTGATAATGTAGTTTTGTATAACCAATGCATCTGTTGTGGGGATTTTTATTATTAGAGTGACATTCTCCGAGCTGTCAAGCAAATCACTTTCTTCTTAATTCTCTCTCTCTCTCTTTTCTCTCTCTCTCTCTCTCTCTCTCTCTCTATATATATATATATATATATATATATATATATATATATATATCGACACTCCCTCACCGAATCCAACTTCAGATGAGAATTAGAAGAAAACAGTACTTTGCTAATCCGGAGTATACACCGGATGCCAGACGTTCTCCTGCAGTCAATAAGGAAAAGTATGCCTCTCCGATGTTGATGATAATCCTCTGTGAGTTTGCAAAAAGCTTCAGCAGATCTTTCTTCGCGAATTCTAAATGTGATCGCATTGATCTTTCTATTCTCATCTGAGAATATTTTCACAGACTTTTCTATTCTCATCAATCTTTTCACAGACACACACACGTGAGCGCGCGCTCACGCACACGCACACACACACACACACACATATATATATATACAGGGTGCGATGGATAAATTATTTAAATTACGCAAAAATGAAAATAACACTGACATCTCATTTTAACAGACATATTAACCAAAATTACATAAAAATATCTTGAAATATTAAAGAGTAAATTTATTCAATAAAATCGCCATTGGCTTCAACCACGGCCTCCAGACGACGTCGGAATCTCCTACAACTCTTCTGGGCGGTCTCCTTCTTTAAGTTGTTGATTGCTGCTATAACCCTTGCCTGTTACAAGGGGTTTTGTTTCTCTTCCGCTCAACTGTGCCCCACACATAATAATCAAGGGCGTTGCAGTCTGGGGAGTTAGGTGACCAGATGTAAGGGGTTATATGGGTTCTCCTGCTTGTGTGTCATGGTGCAGAGTCTTGTTGCTAGACATAGGGTCTTCCAGAAGCCACCCTCTTGACCCTGGGTAGCACTAACTTGCCGAGTTTCAGGCGCTGTGGGAAGATGAATGGATGCATAACGTCGCCATAACTCGTGATCACCTTCGTAATCTCCATTAGACTCATCCAACTCTTTCCAAATTCTCTGTACTGTTCTCAGATTGACACCCAAACACTCTGAAATGTTCATATTGGAGCTTCCGGAGTGAATGCCAAGCGGTACAGCATGCAGTTTCCAAAGTTCTGGCGTCAAGGTGCTCTTTTTCGCACAGATGGTCCTTAATTGACCTTAGTAGGATTCACATTAAAACAAACAACGCACATGTGCGAAATTAAAAATATGAAATGGCAACAATTTTTAGAATTTGACATTTGAAATTTTTTAACGATCTAACAACAGCTTCTCCTGCAAAGTGGGATGCAGCTGCGAATCAAATATTCAGGTCAGTAAACGAAAATAAACATATTGTTTAAAATAAACGGAGCATTTGCATAAATAATGGTATCAAATAAAAATAACGTTTAACGTGGTATCATATTATAAAACCCAGGTTGTGTGTGTGTGTGTCTGTTCTTTTATATATTGGATCGGATTTCCTACATTTTTCAACCGATTTCAACAAAACTTCACAGGACTACGTAAAATTACCTTGTGGTGGTTCTGACAGCGCCCAAAATTGAAAAAACACAATTGTTTTTGCACGAATTCAATTTGAAAACACGATTAAGAGGCATCGCTGTCGCGAGAATAAAAGGGGGACAACTCATATCGAGTTATACTTATAAAACCAAGGTTGTCTGTGTGTGTGTGTGTTCGTTTATATATGGGATCGGATTTCCTACATTTTTCAACCGATTTCAACAAAACTTTACTTTTTTTTTGGCAGGTAGTGTTTCTTATTGTCTTGCACACTTTTTCTTTATTTTTACATTCAGAATGGTTTAAAAATTCCATTTACAAGACAATTGTTTATAATAAAATTCTATTCAATCGGTAGACTCATAACGATTGAAAACAATGTTTTTGTTTGAGTTTGGGTTTGACCAATTCGTAAAAAAAAACAAAAACAAAAAAACTAATTAAGACATGTGTGTCCGTCAACCTTAAACAATAATCTTTGTCAATTTTATTTTTCAGTCTTTATGATGGTCGATACTTGATCTTTCTCTTACTGTTACATCCCCGGGCAACGCCGGGCTCTACTGCTGGTATATATATATATATATAATATATATATATATGTATATATATATATATATAGGTTCTCAAATTTTATATCAGTATCTGACGACATGATATAAAAGTACATGTAACGCAAGCGTCCTTATTTATTTACTTCATTTTTTACGAGTCATTCGTATATCAATAAACTCAGGTGATGTAAGCTTGGGTGTGCGGGTGGAGTAATGGCTAAAAGCTCGGAATGAGAAATCGGATAGCGGTGTTTGATTTCCAATTCGATGTTTTATTCACTTAC